CCATCTGTTAGCCTGGGGCTATAACCTGGCCCTCCCAACTCCTCCCGTGTGCACGGCCACCACCTCCCTCTCCGCTGTTCCCGTGTGGCTCCGTGCCCCCTGCACCTTGCCGGTGAGGCTCCTCATCATTCAGGCACCAGAGATGCCACTCGACCTGGGCCTGCAGCAAGGGCATGTGGTGTGAAGGCAGAGGTGCATATTCTGTGCCACCCAGATTAGGTGCACGGCCCCCGAGCAGAGCAGGGGTAAAAAGAGTGAGAAAGCAGAGTGGCCAAGGGAGGTGCTGAGAACGACTCAGCTCCAGCCTGGATGAAACCAGCCACGAAGTACAGACCGGGATTCAAACCCCAGCCCCGTGATTTCTTCACCGATGACCTTAACCAAGTGTCCTGCCTCCATCTTCTCAGCTGTACCACGCCGAGAGCGACGGCAGCTGCTTCAGGAGGCGGTTGTGAAACTTCAGGGAAACTGTGCCATTTCAACTTAGCACACCGTAAGTGCTCAGCAGTGGCGAGGCCAGAACCCCCACCTTCAGAGCTGGGTGGCTCAGGGACACCTCCAGGAGATACGCGCTGACTGTCTTTGTGTGGAGAGCGCTAGGTCCCCGGAGAAAGAGCGCAACTGAGAGCGCAGGCCACAGCGCAGGGGTGTCTGCTGCTCAGCAAAGTCAACGGACTACACTAGTAGAGAGAAAGAGGTCTCGCCCAGCGGAGGCAGACGGAGGGTGGCACCCTGGTGCCTAGGAGAGCTGTAGCCCATGTAGTTGGCTTCCCAAGGGACATACCAGCGGGGCGCCTGGGTGGCTCAGTCGGTTAAGCGTCTGACTCTTGATTTCGGGTCAGGTCATGGTCTCACTTTCGAGTTCGAGCCCCACATCAGGCTCTGTGCTGACAGTGCAGATTCTACTTGGGATTCTCTCTCTCCCTCTCTCAATGCCCGTACCCTGCTTGCTCTCACTCTCAAAATAAATCAATAAACTTTAAAAATGTTAATCTAATGGACATATCAGCGAGCAGAGCCATATCCTGGGCATCTAGGCAGATCTCCACATTAGGGACTATCAATGGAGGGGAGGAAGACAAATGAAAAAACAAGGACTGAACTCCCTTTTAGTCCCCAGGGTGGCGGGGGTGGCTAGCTTAAAGCTCATATGGTGTCCGTCCAGCCCACAAACCACCTTTCTTCGTGGGAACTAACCCCTCCCACATAGAGAGGTGACCACAGCAGCCATATTTTATCATAAAACTTCATGTCTCCAGCTAAACTGATTGGACCAGGGGTACACAACTGACCCAAGCTGGGCCAGTAAGATTCTCTCTCTTTTTCAACAGTTTTATTGAGATGTAATTTACACATGATACAATTCATCATTTTAAAGTACACGATGCAATGGCTTTAGTATATTCGCAAGGTTGTGCCACCATCACCACTATCTGGTCCTCGGACATTTACATCACCCCACAAAGACACCTGCATCCTTTAGCACTCACTCCCCCTAACAACCTCCCCAGCCCTAGGAAACCACGAATCTATTTTCTGTCTCTGTGGATTTGCTTACTCTAGACTTCTCATATAAATGGAATCACACAATATGTGGTTGTGACTTTCACTTAGCATAATGTTTCCAAAGTTCATCTATGTTGTAATATGTGTCAGTACTTGGTTTCTTTTGATGGCCAAATGGTATGCCATTGTATCGATGTGTCACGTTTTGTTTACCCATCCATCTGTTGATAAACATTTGGGTTGTCTCCACTTTGGGCTATTATTAATCATGCCGCTATGAACATTCGTGTTACAAGTTTCTACATGAACAACATATATTTTCATTTCTCTTGGGTATGTACTTAAGAGAGGAATTGCTGGTCATATGGTAACTCTGTGTTTAACCTTTTGAGAAACTGCCAGATTGTTTTCCAAAGCAGCTGCACCATTTTACATTCCCAGCAGCCAGCGGTGAACAAGGGTTCCAGTTTCTCCCCATCCACACCAATACCTGCCATTATCTTCTTTCTGATTATAGTCATTCTAATGGGTGTGAGGTAGTATCTCACTGTGGCTTTTGTGTATATTTCCCTGATGGCTAATGATGCTGAACATCTTTTCACGTGCTTATTGTCCATTTATGTATCCTCTTTGGAGAAATGTCTATTCAGATCCTTTGCACATTTTCTAATTGTGTTGTCTTTGTATTGTTGAGAGCTCTTTATGTATTTTAGATAAAAGTCCCTTATCAGATATGATTTGCAAATATTTTCTCCCACTCTGTGGATTGACAGTTCACTTTCTTGATGGTGTCCTTTGTAACACAGAAGTTTTTGATTTGGATGAAGTTCAATTTATCAATTTGTTGTTGTTGCTTATGCTTTTGGTGTCATATCTAAGAAACCACTGCCTTATTCGAAGTCACAAAGATTTACTCCTATGTTTTCTTCTAAGAGTTTTATAGGTTTAGCTCTTACATTTAGGTCTTTGATCCATTTGAAGTTAATTTTTACATATGGTGTGAGAGAGGGGTTCCATTTCATTCTTTTGGATGTAGATATAGCTGTACCAGCACCATTTGTTGAAAGACTATTTTTCTCTATTGAATTGTCTTGGCACACTTGTTGAAAAATCAACTGACCACAAAAGTGAGGGATTTAAAAAAAAAGTGAGGGATTTATTTCTGGACTCTGAATTCTGTTTCACTGATCTATATGGCTATCCTTACACCAGTACCAAATGGTCTTGATTACTGTAGCCTTGTAGTAAATTTCAAAATCAGGAAGTATAGTCCTCGAAATTTGTTCTTCTTTTTCAAGACTACCCATAAGTTTAGGGGTGCCTGGGTGGCTCAGCCAGTTCAGCGTCTGACTCTTGATCTCAGTTCAGGTCAAGGTCTCACATTTCTTGGGATCAAGCCCCACGTCAGGCTCTGTGCTGACAACACGGAGCTTGCTTGGGATTCTCTCTCCCTCCCTCTCTCTCTCTCTCTCTCTCTCTCTGCGCCTCCCCCGCTCGTACGCTTTCCCCCCGACTTTTTCTCTCTCTCAAAATAAGTAAATAATCTTTTAAAAAAAGAAAGAAAAAACAACCCTTAAATTTCTGTATGAATTTTAGGATCAGTTTAGCAGTTACTGCAAGGAAGCCAGCAGGAATCTTGTTGGGGAGGCTCTCCAGTTCCAGCTCAACCCCTCCTGAACTCTAGCTCCACTTTCTCCCCTGGGTTCCCTGAGACACCCTGGGATCTTTTCTGTATTCTCTTCTGCTTAACCATATTACACTGAGTTTTTCTTTCTTGCAATCAGAAGAATATTAACCAAGCACCAGTAAGAACACAGTGCTACACACCATCCCAAACAGCCATCTCAGCACTACCTCCCTAGGACCAAAGCCCTCAAACTGCCCCCCAGATACTCAATCCCAACACTGGCCAGTGCCCCCAACCCTTCACTACACCTTGAAACTAGTTCCCTTCCAGGTTAGACACATCATCTTTACCCGTTAAACAGCCTCTCAATAAATGCCTGTGAAATTGAACTAAACATCCCAAAACAACACCAAAAGAAACATTCCCACCACTCCACCCCCGCTTAGTAACCCTGCTTCGTGCCTAATTCTCATTCAATACGCAGATAAGAAGCTCTCGGAAAATTAGACTTCAGACAAAGGATGCAAAAACTGAAGTCTGGAGAAGTTAAATGCCTTGCCCATGAGTGACGATTTGCCCTGAACACTGAGCCACACTGATGCACACCCCACGCCAACCGGCATAGGCCCGGGTGCACCTATTGTCCCGCCCCATCTTTAAGAGCCGCTAGAGAAGCTGCCTCCTCCTGGCAGTCTTCCAAGACTACTCCCACGGCAGAAAGCTCTCAGAAGGCAGGGACTGTCTGCCACTCATCCCGGCCCTGCTAATTGCTTACCCTCACCGTTCTGAGCAAAACAGACCAAAGTGGGAAGTTTCTTATTCTCACCCCTATCTGCCGACGCTCAAGACCGGCTGTGCTTTGCCCGGGGACCTGTACCCAGGGCATACACAGCCAGTGCTAGCAACTAGATGGCATGGCAGAGGGAGGCCGGCCTGGAAAACCTTTCAGCTGAGATGGGGTGTCACAGGCGGGAGGAGCTGCCTCTGAAGGAGGACACTCATTGGAGGAATTTCTCATGCACCAGCAAACTCACATATGGCAGGATAATATTTTGGGCTAGTGACCAATGCTATTTTTTCCTCCTAGAATTCCCCTCCTTTTCAATTCACTCAATTGGAGCAGGTGGTTGGTCAGTACTCATGGCCCAGGGAGGGATGAAGATGGAATGACTTTTTCAAAGTCTGAAGCGGGGAGGGGAATCAGGATGCAAACACAATGGCTGGGGAGAAATACACATGGAAAAGGAGCAACGACGGTGAGGGAGGAGCAGGTGGAGGTTCTGGGAGAGAGGTGTGTCTGCGCAGGGCTTCCCAGACAGACGGGCAGACATATGGCAAACCGCGGCAGACAACTCCCAGCCCCCGAATCTGGTGTTGAAGCCTCAGAGAGCCGCAGGGCTGGGCTCATCAGGATGACATTTGTCTGGTAACAGATGACTCAGTGGCCAACTGACCACATGCACACTGGGGTGTTTCATGAGGCTTTAGAACTATGTGGCACAATTTTCCAGGTAGGTAGGAATGTCAGAAAGACTGAGGGATCGGGGACTTCACATAATAATCAAGGGGATAGGAAATAAAATTATCTTTCTCACGTCCAAGTTATGGCCTAAAAGACACCACTGTATGCATTACCATCAACCTGGCACCTGCTGCTTCCATCCCAGCATGCTTTTCTCCAGACACCCCAGGAATCAAGAGCCCTGTCCAACCTCTCCAGTCCAAAGCCCGTAAGACTGAGACGGAGAATCTGACAAATGCTACAGCCCCACTCTGGTTCCCCACAACGCAGGGGAAACGAGGGGCCCACAGGAGCTCTGGCCTGCCATCATCTCTGATCGCTACATAACAGGAAGTGGCTACTTACTTGACCTTCAGGCTCGCCAGCATGGTCTTGTCGATCCTGCCAAGAGAAAAGCAAGGGCTTTGGTCAGTGCCGAGGCTGAAGGCTGCCAACTAGCATCTGAAGGGCAGGTCCCTTAGCCAGTCTAGACCACCAGACCGGCAGGGCCCTGGAGGGGACAGCCGCTCCTGCCGGAGGCTCTCCTCCAGCCCAGGAAGAGAGGACTGTGAGCTCTGGGAGGGCTGGAGCCACATATAACCCTACAAGGCAGGTACTGTTATTCTTCCCATTTTAGAAATGAGGAAACAGAGGCTCGGGAGGATAACATCACTGGCCCAGTCTGAATCCAGGTTCCGACTCCAAACCCAGAGATCCCTTTGTATATAGCATCTCCCTTCATTGCCCCCACTCCACAAGAGGCATTTGCAAGCCAGCTGCATCAGTCACCGCAGCTGGACCTTCAACACATCGACCTTTCCCAGGCTTCTGCTTTGGAAAGATACCAGCACCCCAGCACCCCAGCAACAAGGACCCTCCTGTTCTAGGAGCTGCCAGTCCATGCAAGGAGGCAGACCCCACTCCTGAGACAGAACCCAAGAGCAGGCTCCAGGGTGCACGGACAAGTGGGAATTGTCAGGCACGGAGCTCAGAGCAGGGAAGATCACACGCACAGCAGGCTGTCCTGGCAGCCAGCTCCTCCACCCCAGGCTGCGCCCACCCTTGCTGGAAGACAAGGCAGTGCTGCTAAGCTTCTATTTTTACCCCGTGCATATGCCAGCCCTCGTGGCTGGTAAAAGAAGCCCCTTCCTCTCTCCAGACAGAAAGGTGGGCGAGATTCCCACTGTCAGCATCTCCTCTTGTTTAGGGGTCACAACCACCGGTGTCACCACCACCACCCCCATGTCATCAACACCACCACTGTCACCATCACCATCGGTGTCGCCACACCCCCATGTCAGCATCACCATCAGTGTCACCATCACTGTAAAGGTCACCATTACCCTCAGTGTCACCACCATCCCCTGTGTCACCATCACCATCAGTGCCACCCAAATCACTACCACGTCCAGGATGCTCGAAACCCTGGAAAGATCTTTCAGCCGCCCTATCCTGTATGTTCAGCTTTGCCACAAGCTTCCTTGCACACGACTCCCAGGGCAGCACGGGGATGGGAGCAGTGTCAGGGGCCACACAGGGAGGACACGGAGCTGTCATAAGTCAGCACCAAGCCCCTGAGTTGGGAGGTGGGATCCTTTCACTCTGAGTAAACTCCCAGCACCTTTGGATCTCAGTTTCCGGCAGCAAAACAAGCCACACCCCAAAGCTCCTGGCCCAGGTCCCTCCCAGCTTCTTCCCCACTGCATCCTGGGCCCCTTCCATGGAGCCTCCACAACTGGTCCTGAAGGGTCTCATGGGGCCCCCAAACCCTCTAGCATGCAGACTTGCCTCCTCTCCCATTCAGCCCACCAGAGCGGGGAGGGTGAATCCAGGAAGCAGAGCCTCCCATTCTGCTGTAATATTTGTAACCCAGAGCTACGGAGCTACCTAACTATGACCCCAACAGCAAGCCTTTACATTTTATATTTTCTCAAGGAATCCTTTTTAGTTCTTACGACATCCTGTGCATAAGGTGGAAATCCCCCACTTACACATGGGGAAACTGAGACCCAGAGAGGGGAAGTGTCCCGTCTGAGTTCCTCAACAGGCCAAGGTGGAGCCAGCAGTAGAACCCAGACTTCTGGTGTGGTGCCCTCTCAACCCAACCAGCACAGCACCCAGTGGGTCACAGCAACCCCTGGCCCAGCACCCACATCCACACCTACCCGGCAATCTATCCACAGGGTTCCCACGCTAGGGTGTGGCCCTGGGAGGGCAGGGCCTGTGGCCTTTGCAGGGCCAAGACAGGAGATAGGGCAGTAGCCGTGAAACCGAGGTTTTCTCTTTCAGAAAGCCAAACTCCCAAGGTTCTCCCTGGCGCCTTCTCCCTCCTCCCCACCCCATTCTCTCTCTTCACCTTGTCTGCTGCTGATGCCACTGGCTATCCACCCTGGCATCCAAAGGAGCTTCCAAAATACCGGCCCCTGAGATTCTGTTCGCAGTGTGGAGTGGACCAAGGCTCCAGGAATCTGCACTTTAGTCTCCAAGCCTCCCAGCTGGCAGCCATCTCCAGAGGACGGCTGCTCTAACCCTCCAAGCCCACCAGAAAGCCCTGCACCCCCTCAGACTCAATGAGCCCCTACCCAATGCCTGTCGTGGGCAAGAAACACTTCACTTAGTCGTTCCATAAGCGTGTACTGAGCACGTACAACGTGCCACACACAGTTCCTCGTTCTGCTCCACACCTTCCAGAGGAGGGTGGGTCTCAGAGGTACCCTCTCATGGCCTGGGCCCTGTCCTGTAGCGATCCCAGCCAGCCTGACTGGGAAGCACACTAGGTGATTTGGACCCAGACCACACCCTCGGGACAGGAACCCCTTGGCCCCGCCATCAGGGAGGGCCTGTGAGCAGGCACTAGGCCACACTGTGCCACCTGTAGCATCATGTCATCCTCGCTGTCCCTAACTGCCAAACATGGAGCACCCACAACCCCTCCTGCCAGAGGGTGGATGGCAAAGAGCCTCCAAAGAGGAGGAAAAGGGAAGTCAAAAGCCGCACACACACAGAAGCGTAAACAGCCAGAGGAGCAGAACCCACCTCCTCCCAGACCCTGGGCCCCCTCCCTCTGTCCCTCGCCTCTGTGTCCCCCCAATTAGCCCACCAGCCTCCACACCAGGGCACCCCTGGCCACCCTCCCTGCAGCAGCAGGAATCTTTGACAAGGCCCCAGGTCCACAAGCTGAAAGGAAACCGATAATGAAAACCACTTGACCCCGTTCCCCAGCTGAGGAGAAGCTGCCAGCAGCTGGTAACCATAGACAAGTCTTTGACCTTGGTCTCCCCGTTTTCTGGCCCCCTAGGGAGGAAAGAGCTTCTCCCTTGTCCCAGACAGAAGCTTAGTGGCAAAAGGTGGCCCAGAGGTCCAGGGGAGAAGCGCGAACCCAGCTGCTCCGGCTGGGACAGAGCCAGGATTGGCTGGCCGGGCGGGGGGCGGGACCTGTGCAGATGGGTGTGCCCTGCCTTCTCCACCTTTGCCACGGAGAGGACTGAGCCCAGAGGTCCCCTGTGCAGGAGACGCCCCATCACAACATCACGTACAAAGCGGACACAGGAGGAGTGTGTGGCACACCTGCCCAGACAAGGGCACTCAAAGCGGGAGAAGCCCAGACGTGCACACACACCTGCTCAGAAGCGCCGAGTGCACACGTGGTCACACACACAGCACACCCACCCAGCCAGGCACACACTTCATACCTGGCTGTACAGACTGGGAGCTGCAGACATGCCACACACACATGGGAACAGGCACAGACACAACATTCAGCCACAGCCACGCAGCCTCGTTCACACTGGCTCTGGCTCCAACCCTCCGGACTCCCTAGATCCTACTCCAGGGTGAGTGAGGGAAAGCTTAATGTCTGATACCCCGGCCACCTCCATCCGGCCACGGCATCTGCAATGCACCCTCCTACCCACCCGGATCTCAGGCACAACCTGAGCCCTCTGCTCACACAGGCAGCCCCAGCAGATGCAAGACGTCGCAGCTAGGTTCGCTCCCATCCCTTCAACCGCCGTCCCATCTGTCACCCACCATCCAAAGCCCCCAAAGGAGACACTGCGCTTCCTGCGAAACATGGCTGTGGCCGTGGGGCCCCGGAACCCAGCGACGTCCTCAGGACTGTTGGCAAAAAGGTGACAGTGCAGTGGGGTCAGCAGGGCCACAGGCGTAGGGCGGGACACTGGGTGTGGCACCTCCCCCACTGCCTGCCCCCAACCCCAGCACTTCCTGTGGGCGAGGCCGCGGGGCTGGGAGGTGTGTCCTGCCCTCCAGGAGGCACCAAGGAGGCAGGGGAGGTCGCAGAGGGCAGCTTCCCCATGCCCAGAGGAACCCGCAGCTCCGGAAGGGGCTCGGCTGGCAGATTGCACCACAGCCCGAGTTGGCAGCTCGGTCCCACACAGCCCTGGCTTCTCAGAACCCAAAAGAGGCCGGAGGAGTCCCACAGACATACCTGTGAGGGAAAGAGCTCGCTGGAAGGCTGGGGAGCCCTTCAGATGGCTCCTCACACCCACTCCCTGCAGCTGCCCAGGATGGGACCTCTGCCTTCCTGCTCCACCATGGCTCAGCACACACCAGATAAATCAGCCCCACACAGGTAAGGACACCCACACACTTGTGGACACGAGTACACGTGCACTGCCATGAGCACAGGGGCACACGCACGTGTGCACATATAGATGCACAGGACCCACAGGTGCACAGGCATGCTCACATAAGTGTCGTTACACACCCACACACACACGCGCACAGGTACCGCACATCCACATGCAGGTTCATATAGACTCAACAGAGACACCTGCACATACATCTCATATACACACAACTCCCCGTGACACAGGCTCACACGTGGACACAGACCCACGTGCACACACTCAGACTGCACACACGCCCTCAAGGTACGTTCACATGTACACACGCACAGTCACAGATCTGTGTTTCTCAGACGCCCTCAAGTGCCCAAGCAGAGGTCAGCAGTGGGAAGGTGGCACGTGTGTGCAAGTGTGTTTCTTTCTAGCGGGGAGAAAAAGCTAGCCCTCATCTCTGCATGCACCAATGCCGACCATGCCAGGTATACAGTAGGTGCTCACTAATGACAGCCCATGGAGGGGTGTGGCACATATGCTACCACAGACTAGGTCGGGGGGACACAGGTGGGGACCAGGCCCCTGCCCTGCTCCCCCAAGCAGTGGAGGAAGGGAAATAAAGCTACCGTGGCTGCTGCCACTGGCCTCTCTCACTGGCCCACCCTCCCCACAGTTTCCTGGTTGGGGTCCACTGCCACTCTGGGCACTGGATCTGTGTTGTGGGACCAGAGGGCCACCCCCAGGTCATGGACAAAGGGCACAGGCATTTCTATTTTCTTGACTCCGCTGAAGCAGGGAAGGCTACGTGGGCGGCAGGTGGCA